GCTAATTAGCCCTGATATGCTAATTAGTCACAAGTATGCAAAATGACCATGACTCCAACACACAAGATGGCCACCCCCATGTGGTCTAAGATGGCTGCCACAAGATGGCCTACAGGGGAGGACCGTTGTGGGGGACCAGGCCTGCAGGGGAGAGCAGTTGTGGGGGACCGGGCCTGCAAGGGAGGGCATTTGGGGGCGATCAGGCTGGCAGGGGAGAGGTTAGGGGGTGATCAGGCTGGCAAGCAGAAGCAGTTAAGGGCAATCAGATAGGCAGGCAGGCAAGTGGTTGGGAGCCAGCAGTCCTGGATTGTGAGAGGGATGTCTGACTGCCCGTTTAGGCCCACAGGAATAGGGCCTAAACAGGCAGTTGGACATTCCTAGAGGGGTCCCAGATTAGAGAGGGTGCAGGCTTGGCTGAGGGACATACTCCTCTCCCCCCCCCCCCCCACACACACACACAGTGCACAAATTTCATGCACCAGGCCTCTAGTGTATATATATAATTGATTTCAGAGAGGAAGGGAGAGGGAGAGAGGATAGAAACTTCAATGATGAGAGAGAACCATTGGTCAACTGCCTCCTGCACACCCCACACTGGGGAGTGAGTCGGCAACCAGGCCTGTGCCCTAACTGGGAATCAAACTGGTTGTTTGGTTCATGGGTTGAAGCTCAACCACTGAGCCATGCCAGCTGGGCTGTCTTCCACTTTTGATTGAGATTGATGGGGAAGGCTACACATGATGTGGTGATCCACTAATCTAGCCTTTTAGCTCATGGTAGAAAAAGAATTGTGCATCAGGACTTCCAACTCTTAAGGTGGTTTTACCATCCTCCCCTGCTTCTGGGTTTTTACTGTTGCCTTTTGTGAGCAGTACTTTCCCCCGAGGACACATGTTAATAATCTGGAATCTTCCCTATCAGTGGGCTAGCACCATCTTGATGGTCCTGTGTTCTGCTTCTACCTTGCTAATTGTTTCCTTGGGATTATTTGGATTGTGTAGAAAGGTTTTTGCAAATCCTCTTATTACTGAAGTCATTGTTGCCAGCATGAATAAGATTAAAGGTGCTTAAGTCTGTGGAGTTGTTTCTAATTTGTACATGTCATTTCAGTGGCATTTAACAGAACTCTGTCTCCTGTCCCTCCCTTCTCCCCTGGCACTATCTCAAGTTTGGTCCGAGAAGCCAGGCCATTGGAAGAAATCTCATTTTATCCTCCTAATTATTATGCTGGCACTCAGGAGATAATTTTTCCCTTCACGCACTGCCAATTAATATGCAAATGAACTGATAAATATTTATGCAATGATTTAAATTATGCAGGGAGGGCTCTCAGTGTATTCTGTAAATGAATTGTTCATGGACTTCAAAGTGCTGGCTGCTGTGCTAACGAGGAGAGATTTGCATAAGGCCCTAATCACCCGCATACTGATTAAGCTTCATTATGGAAACTGCCAGCTGCAATCTTTGTTTCTATTTTATTACAAAAAGGGGAACTTTTCATGCTTCAGTTGCCTTGACAATGTCAGTCCTAGCTGATAGGAGAGACTAAAACTCCTCTGAGCAACTGAAGTTTCCTTATTCAGTTGAAGATGGCTATGGTGTAACTGAAGTTGTAGTCTGCTTCTCCCCCAGTCCACTTTCCACCTCCCACTCTAGTTCCCTTAGTTTTGTCAGAAATAGTAATACCTTCTGACCCCACCCAATCCGTTACCTGTTTCTTTGCTGTGGACTGTGAACCTAGAAGATTTCACAGCAATGCTGGACTGCAGTGACTTTGTTCTAGGTGGGTACTGGCACAGCTTTCTTACAGCTTTACTGTGGAAATAGTGGGAGTGGGGTTGGCTATGCAGAAATGCTTCATCACTTATATAGCCGGCCGGGGGAGAGGAGAGACCGGTGGAACAGGGAAGGGGGGTACGCATTTGCAAAGCACCAGTACTTGAATTTGCTGTAGGTCCCTCCCTACTTCTAGCTCTTCTGGTTCAGAGGAGACTTTCAGTAAATATTGTGGATTTAGAGTTCAACTTGAATGGAGGACATTTTTGCTTTTTTAAAAAATTTTCTATTGAGAGCATGTCATGTAGTTCTAAAAACACTCTGGATCAGAAACAAGGTCTGAAGTGTACCTAAATAATATGTATGTTAATAAAAATGTTTTGCATACTTAATTGAAATGTCTTGTAAAAAACAAAAGTACTTAGTGCAAACCAGGTGGAGCCACAGTGCAGAGTTGCTCCCAAGAGGACAGATTGGGTGACTGCCCTGGTTACTGCAGTTGGGCTGTGGGTCCGTTTCCAGATTTTAGAAACTGAACTTTCCAAATTTTGACAATATTAGCCTTTTTATTTTAAAAAATTTAGCTTCTCTTCTTCACAAAACAGTCTTAAATACTGGAAAGCCTATTTTTAGAGTTTTGTGGGGTTTTTTTTAGATTTTTAGAGTTATCCCTATAGAGCTACAAGCCTTTGGAGAGGGGCTTTCTGGCTTGAATATATAAATTATGTCTTTGGTGACTATGATTCATAAGAGATGGAGTCTCTTTGGTTTTTAGACATACTGTGCATGCTCATGGTGGCCATACTTTGTGTTGAGCTTTGTCTGCTTGTGTGCAAAATTGTGGAAACCTCTTTGGGTTATTCTGGTCACCTGGAGAGTTAGATGATGGGAACTCCAGGACTCATATATCTTCCAAATCTTTGCAAATGATTTCTTTTTCCTGTTTGCCATTTTTCCCATTTGAAAAAGCCAGGCTGTCCCCATCACCTTCACAGTCGCCAGGGTTAGAATAAAATGATAGTTCTGAAAAATGTTTGAACTCGTAGGTAGACAGAAGGCTTGGCCTAAACCCAGGGTAGTAGTGATGTCTGCACAGACCGTAAAAGCCACTGTTAACCATGTGAATGGCTGAACCAGCAAACCAATGTCAGGAATTCATCAAGAGCAACTTGCAGAGCGTGTATTAGACTCATTATACAGTCAGCTCAGGGTGCCCAGGGGGGAGCACTCCAAATATCAGAAAGGAAATACTTATTTCAGCTTATATTTACTAAGTTGGGAACTCAAGAAAGGAAAGGAAAATATCTTTTTGAAATATTTTTAGCATTATATTTTAGAATAAGAAATTATATCTATTTTTAGTTAATAAATATTTAAACAGTCTTCCCATAGTTGTACTGTTAATCAGAATTTTTATTTATTATTTTGTGCATGAAGTAATTTGTTAAATGTCCTTGAAGTTCCTGACAATTCAATAGAAAATCCTTAGAAAATTCACATAGAGTACCTGTGACATAATGTTTAATTTATGGATGGGAAAATTAGGATATGACTTGTATAAGGTTGAGCTCATGACTTGTTAAGAGTTATGCCTTCTTTGTTGTTATGATAGGTAGAAAATTATCTTTTTAAAATTAATGTTAACTGCTTCATTATTTTCTCCACCTCCTTTTAAAATATGGTCTAAAGGAAGCATTCAGCAGTGTGTATGCTTAATGGCATATTCTATTACATTTGTTGTGATCTTTGTTGGCTTTCATAAGATTTTTGTTAAGTCATTCAGAAAGCTGGTGTTCACTGAGTTGTACACCTGTTTCTTTCAAACCTTAGCATGCTTTCGGATGACATTTACATTTTTCTGGGCAGTGGGGGAAAGGAAGTTGTAGAACAACCCTTATTTATGACCAAAGACATAAGAATCTGAGCCTTTTGAACTTTTGAAAAACAAACCAAAGACATGAAAGACCTGCATAAGCACATAAGACAGGCATGTGTTTAAAACATTGTGTTAGAATGGCTGGTGCCCAGCTTCTGGGTTGGAAGTGAAATGTATGAAGCTCTCTCATCCCTTGTGCATGTACATAATACCACTGTGGCAACGTGGTTGGGACTCTAGTGATCTGTTTGATTGCCTATTTAAATATTTAAGCATATGACAAAATGGATTCTCTGGTAAAAAAAAAAAAATCAAATATAATATAGTTAAATTATTTATTCTCTACTAACCAGTAGTTAAATGTCCTTAACCTAGTGGGGAAAAGGCAGAGCTTGCTTGATAGTAAACTTGTTGGATTTATAAATACCTTAAGTTTGAGTTTGTAGAAGTAGAATAAGGTCTGTATTTAATTTAATGTATATTTAGTTTTCACACTTCTGAAGAAGTCGAAGAAAAGCAGACTTGGTCTTGTCCCATCTGTTGCATGTCTTCTGGGAAACCTAACATTGCTCGATGAAAACTTTTCACTGTGACATCTTCATTAAAAAGATAACCTAAAGATCTGAGGCACAGAAGTGGGTTCATTTGGGGGTTTCAAGGCAGCATAATTCGTAAGTGGGTGTGGTTGTGTGTGGTGGTGAGTCACTCTTGACATTATTAGATGTATCTGTTTTGCCTGTGGTAACTCCTTATACTGGTTTATGACTGAGGTGTGAACTCAGATATCACGTTGACATATGCTTAGTTTCTTGGGGGAGGGAGTAAATTTGGAGATATTTTTTAGATATGCCGTAGCTGTATACCATTCTTTTGAGTTACTGTCCAGTCTGTTGTCAAGATTATCAGTGGATTGTTTGGTCATAATTAACAAATATCTCTGCTATGGGAAAAGAAACTTTATTATCCACTAACATGTTTTAGTTGGTGAGGTACTTCCCCAGCTTTGTTTCTTTAACATTTTATGCTTCATATTGCAAAGCATTTACATCTTTTACATATCAGATCTATTGTTACTTTTTAGGTTAGATTTCTGCTATCTTTCTTAGAAGAATCTTAAAGTTTATTAGAAAGATTCCTTATTTGTGGATCACTTCAAGGTTGATGGAATCTTGAATTTTTTCAGTTAAACTTTTATTGCAATTTCCAACATTTTAGCATTGACTCAGTCTCTTTGAACTACAGGGCTGTGACATTAGTCAATATTCTTAACCTTTCCCTCTGCCACAATTTTGTCCCCCTAACTGCATCCCCAAGTTTTTAAACTTCATTCACCTCTGATTTATTGCAGACTCGAGAATGAACAACCCGCCAGAAAACGGTAAATCGTCCGTGGAGAGTGGAGACAGCAGCACAGGTAAGAAACCCTCTGGGACTGAGCTTTTTCATTCAACTTAGTAGAGATTTTATCTTTTAGAGGTTTTCCATTTAACTGGGACTCATATGGGCAAATGAAGACTGATTGAGTGTTGAGCCATCACATGTAATTTAGTACCTGCAGAAACGGGTGTGTTTGCTTCAGATACCCGACTTCTCCTGCACTTGGCTTGTCTTTTTGCTGCCGTTTGTCTGCGAAGCTTCAGAGCAGCTCAGAGCATTTTCCTTTGGGCCCTGTAGTTCTGGGTATGAATTATGGATGTGCCACTTACTAGCTTTGTGATGTGAGGCAGTTTCCCTCATCGTTTTGAGACCCAACCAAAAAGAGGGATAATATATTTCAGAGGTCATTGTGAGCACTAAAGAGGAAGTGTTAAGCACAGTGCAAGCCACACACTCAGTACAAAGTTGCTCTTGTTACAGGTGTTAACAACATAATAAATCTTACCCACCCACATTCAATAGAAACTATATTAAAGTTATGATAGTGTCTGAACATAGTTAAAAACACACACCTGTTCTTAGTACATCCTTTTATTTGGTGATTTAAAAAAAATTACACTTGGTTAAACCTCTATCAGGAGAAAGTCTATATATATAAAAGTCAAGTGACAGGAACGACTGGTCGCTATGATGCACACTGCAGCTGGCCAACCTCCTGCAGGCTCCCCCTCCCCCCTGCCCCATTGGCCCCGATCGGGCGGGCCGGCCGGACCCCACCCATGCACGAATTCATGCACTGGGCCTCTAGTGACTTTATAAATGAGAATACTGAGGCCCCAGAGAGGAAAGCTATCCATCCAGGGCAGATGGTCTCCACAGCCCACATTTAACTCTGCATGGCTCAGAAGACATCTGACTGTGTCTATCTGCTGGTGATTGCCCCAGTTTTTGGTCAAGGCGCAAATTACAGTCCTCAACCACATAGGGAATTATGGGCTGGGAAGTACAGAAAGTGCCAGTTTCTGAGTGAGCCAGGTTTTTCACTAGCAAGGACTTGCCTCTGTGACCCGCTGTTTAAAAGTGCCTCGCTGCCCTAGCCGGTTTGGCTCAGTGGATAGAGCCTCAGCCTGTGGACTGAAGGGTTCTGGGTTTGATTCATGCCCTGGTTGCAGGCTCGATCCCCATTTGGGGCATGCAGGAGGCAGCTGGTCAATGATTCTTTCTCATAATTCTTTCTCATAATTGATCTTTCTATCTCTCCCTCTCACTTCCTCTCTGAAGTAAATAAAAATATTAAAAAATAATAAAATAAAAGTGCCTCGCTCTGGGAGACAGTAAGAATGAGAGTCACTCTTGGGAACTGTTTCCCATCCCCACTGACCACACAGCCTTTTCACTTGAAGCTGATGAGTTGAACCAATATGGCAGCGTCCTCCCTACACAGCTTTCATTTTAAACTGTCCTGAACCTGAGGGTCCTTGTTAATCTTCCAGTCTCTGAAGTATACCTGCCCCTCCAGGTGACACTGAGCTGTGGGCTCCCTGATGTGTTAACATATCTCTCCAGTGATTCCCTGAGGCCAGCTGTGCAGACTGCTGTGCACTCCTGAGAGCGGAAGGGCTGCATTCGACTATCTGAACTGTTGGCAGTGGCCTCCTCTCTATCGTTTATCTGTCCCAGTTGGGCCCCATCTTTCATTACCTTGTAGCACTGGTATCTAGCAGTGCAGGTGGGTTGGCACCCAGACTAGGTGTGGGGCTTAGTTTCAGAGAAACAGGGCAGTGGGTCCCATTCAGATACTCGGGAAGAGAGCAGGGCACAGTGCCTGCAGAACATCTGCGCAGAGGAGGCATGTTCCAAGGGAAGAGAAACTCGCAGAATGACAAGAGCACTGGAGGCAGGCACTGCGCCCTGCACTGCGCCAGATCCAGGGGGACCCCAGCACGGTCAGGACCTGCTGTGCCCTGAACACCTTTAACACACATAGGACTCCTGCTCCGGGTCACTGTGTGCATTATCTCACTACAGTTTGAATTCTTTTTGTTTTGTTAATCCTCATCCAAGGATATTTTTCCATTGTTTTTTTGAGAGAGTGGAAGGGAGGGAGAGAGACATAGAGAAACATCAATGTAAGAGAGAGACATCAATTGGTCGTCTCCCACATGTTCCACACCAGGGCCAGGGATCGAGCCTGCAACTGAGGTACGTGCCCTTGACCAGAATTGAACCTGGGGCCCTTAATAGTCCGCAGGCCGAGGTTCTATCCACTGAGCCAGACCAGCTAGGACCAGTTTGAGTTAATGCCAGCCCTGCAAGCTAGGTATTATTATTGTTTCAAGAAATCGGAAATTCAGGCACAAAGCCAGCCAGGAAATAAAGGCAGGATTACACCTGCTTATGGTTTCTCTGCAATAAAATAAAACTGCAAATTCTAGTTGGAGCACCTACTGAAACTGGCTCATGAATCCCTCTCTCTGTTTTCACATGAAATGTGTGGCGGAGTCACTCCCCCATAAGAACTGTATCTTATGGAAAACATGTTTATGAAAATGTACTAGAAGATTCCTAAGAAGTATGCATGAGTTCAGTGTAGGGAGAAGTGGTTTGTAGCTGGGAGGTTTAGGGAAGGCTCTGGAGGTAGTGGAGGGTAAACCGACCCTTGGCAGCTGGATGAGATTTTAACTCAACGGTGGGTAATGTATGTTCAGCATGAAGAAATAAGTCAGTGAAAGCTCAGGTTGGAGGAAGAAACCCATCCTGATGGTCTCCAGGTCCTCCAGGTTTCCCACCAGGTCCTGTGACGTCCTCCCCGGTATTATTCACTCACCCTCAGAATGAGACCATCCCAGTCCTCAGGGTGGCCATTACACTACCATCGACTTACTAGTGTTATTTTTGAAAACTTACCATTGGCTTATTATTATTACTAGAGGCCCGATGCACGAAATTCATGCACTAGTGGGGGGTGGGGTAGGGGGGAGAACCCCTCAGCCCGGCCTGCGCCCTCTCACAGTCCAGGAACCCTCGGGGGATGTCTGACTGCCTGCAGGCCTAAGCAGGCAGTAGGACATCCTTAGCGCTGCTGCGGAGGCAGGAGAGGCTCCCGCCAGTACCGCTGCTCTCTCCAGCCGTGAGCCGGCTTCTGGCTGAGTGGCGCTCCCCCATTGGGAGTGCACTGGCCATCAGGGGGCAGCTTCTCTGTTGAGCGTCTGCCCCCTAGTGGTCAGTGTGCATCATAGTGACCAGTCGTTGTACCGTTTGGTCAGTTTGCATGTTAGCCTTTTATTACATAGGATTATTATTAATGAAGGTAAAAATGAAATTATATTTTAAATATAAAATGTTACTTTTCCTGATATTTAATTGTTTTGAAATATTAAAACTTATCCTATCTAATAAAAGACAAATAGGGTAATTAACCATACCTCCGATATGCTTCCCATTGGTTAATCAGGGCGATATGCAAATTAACTGCCAACCAAGATGGCGGCCGGCAGCCACGCAGCTGAAGCAAACAGGAGGCTTGCTTGCTCCAGTGATGGAGGAAGCCAAGGTTCCCCGCCTACTGTGGCCCGGCTCTGAGCTCCGAAAGCAACAACTCCGAAAACAACTATGTTTCAATTATAGAAGCTAAACAAACCCCAGATAACTGCTTTCAGCTAGCCGAGGTCTCAGAGCTGAAGCTGCAACAGTGTTTCAATTATAGAAGCCAAACAAATCCCAGATATCTGCTTTCAGCAGCGGAAGTCTCAAGCTCCGCAGGAGCGCTAAGGATGTCCGACTGCAGCTTAAGCCTGTTCCTGCTGGTAAGTGGACATCCCCTGAGGGCTCCTGTCTGCCAGAGGGATGTCCAACTGCCGACTTAGGCCCAATACCGGAGCAGGCCTAAGCCAGCAGGTGGACATCCCTCGAGGGGTCCCAGACTGCGAGAGGACACAGGCCAGGATGAGGAGACCCCCCCCACCCCCCGGTGCAAATTTTTGTGCACCGGACCTCTAGTCCTATATAATAAAAGGCTAATATGCAAATCGACCAAACAATAGAATGACTGGTAACTATGATGCACACTGACCACCAGGGGGCAGATGCTCAATGCAGGAGCTGCCCCCTGGGTGTCAGTGCACTCCCACAGGGGGAGCACCACTCAGCCAGAAGCCAGGCTCACAGATGGCGAGCACAGTAGTGGTGGCGGGAGCCTCTCCCGCCTCTGCAGCAGTGCTAAGGATATCCAGATGCCATCAGTCGGACATCCCCCAAGGGCTCCCAGACTGCAAGAGGGCGCAGGCCAGACTGAGGGAATCCCCTGAGTGCCTGAATTTCCTGCACCAGGCCTCTAGTTTTAAAATAACTGACTCACCTTTTGATTCATTAAGTTTGTCGTGAATGAAATGTAAGCCTTTGTCCACCTGAATCATGATGGATAGAGTGAGGCTCTCCTATCCCATCCCTGGGCACTTTTCATTCAGATGATTTTCCCCCAGGATAACATTAGGATCTTTCTGGCAACTGAAATGACCAAAGAAATTTATTAAGTCAACCTAATATATATTTATGTCATACATTCCAAAATTATTATTGCTAGAAGTTCCTAGCAGCCAGTGATGTGCTGTCTGTGGAATTTATTAGTTCTGGTGTCAGACATCATTTTCTCCAGGTGAGAGAAGGATCATGAAAGCCCAGGGCACCTGTGAGCACTTCTGCTTTTCTTCCTGGGAACCAAGGACCTGAGGTCTCCACCCAGCCCTCCTTGTAGGACATTTCCATGTTTTTAGGAGATGCCTCAGAAATTCGCTGAGGAACTTCGCTGAAGCTCTCGTCACAGCAGTGGAGCAGTTGAGATTTCAGGCTCAGAAGGACTGTTTTCCCTCCGAACTTGTGTCTATCCAAGGACTATTTCTAATGTTCTCTTGCTTTTATTATGATCCTGATTTCTACGTTTATTGCACACTACTGTGTGGACTACATTCTGTGCTGGCCAAAGTGCTCTGATAAGCCTGAGGGGTGAAATACCAACACAGAGTTTTCTTGGAGTTCCTC